TGGCTGCGACAGAACGCATCGCCCATTTCACGAATTGGGCAACACTTGCATCCACACCTCCATCTTCCGAAACAACAAACTTCCTCACCGTCCAGAATCCGAAAGCAGCTCCTGTGATGACTATTCCCACGAGCACGAGTATTGCGACCTGAGTGGGAAATATCAAGTAGCAAGTGTTATGCTTAATGCTTCATACAACCTGAGTGGAAACATTGTCCTCTTTACAATAACAAAAGAACAGAAGAAGGGACAATGACTTACTGGATTGTACATGTCGTCACTCAGCCCGAAATTGGCAAGAATCATGTTCACCATCATCGAGAATTGATGTAGAATGAATGATCCAGCCCCTACCTGCAACAGTGATTTCATTCAGAGTGAGCACTTTCTATATAGCTGATTACTTGGAAAACCATAGGCGAACGCTGTTGTAAAACATACTTACCACAGATCCATAGAATGCAAGATACATAACATTCTTCCTCCCAGTAGGCAATAGCCTCATAACCTGCAAAGAAATTTTAAATAATACAACATCTTAACATAACAATTCAGCAATACAAGAGAAGTAAAAATCCTTTCAACATTGTATCTCAAATTCAACTTTAGAGTGGCAATTTCAATTTTAGAATCATGATTTACCTGGAATATAATAATGAGAACGACGAGGAAAACCCCAACAGCCATAGAACTGGTGTAGTAAAACGGAAGCCAGCTGCTGACAACTGGTGCTGCCAAGATCACGACCAGTCCGGCCACAAGACAAACAAGACGCCATCGCTGAAAATCTGCAGAAAAGAAGACATATTCAGAAAGTGAAAAATAATCACTAAAGCCAAGATATGGAATGGAGATGGAATAGAATGAGAGAGAGAGAGAGAGAGAGAGAGAACAAGGAGCAACCTTCTGCAATGGAGATGGTAACAGAACCAGACGATTCACCACTGAACTTGACATCAATGTATTGCTTATCATATGGGGACATGACAGAGCTCCAGTGCCCCCTCTGAAGATTTTTCCAATCAGCTTTCTCACACTGGCACATTCCAAGTGAAGCATTCCTGAATAGACCAGAGTAAAATGGTGAAAATAAGGCTTTTTCTTTACTGACTTCTATAACATATAAAATCTTGAAAAAAACATTGATAGAAAAAGCAAATGCACTTACCGGTGAACACAAACCTGAATTTTGCTGTGTAGCCTCTCTGGAACTGTTACCAATGGAGCCAACTTTACCCTAAAAGCATGGGCATATTTCCCCAATTCGGTTCTCGGATAGCCAGAAACTTGGATTCGCTCACACGAAGTAAGGCTGACATTCAGAGCTGTGTGTTCAGGACCAATACCTGAGATTTGGAATCCATATGTCAATACAACTGTCAAAGCATGAAAACAACTCTGTAGGGCAAAACATAAAATACAAAAAATGTTCAAGCTTTCTGCCAATTATAAAACCTTAGCGCATGAGAATTAGCGGATATAATCTACAAGATGTGTTTTTCTAGTTCACAATTCAAACTTTATTGATCCAAAATAAGGAACCTCTAAAGAGAAATTCTGTCAGTTTCAAAGGAGAACAACCCTATGGAACAACTTCAGTAGTAGATTAAAGTGAAGAGAAAACAAAACCCAGAACCCACAAAATCACCCAAGGAACTTCAAAAAAGCTCAAACCTTTTTTTTAAAGATTGCTTTTTTTAACTAATTTTTTTTCCCACAGCAATAATTAGCAGATAAATTTCGACAATGATTGAAGTTCCTGGGCAAGGGAAGAGATTCTTCCGCTTACCCTAAGTTTCCCAGGAAGCGACGAAAATCGAAGTAAGGGCTTCGAATAAACACTTTAGTGAAGTAAATGAAGCAGAGAAGGAGATCGCAAGAGCCAAGAATTAATCAGTAACAAGTCAGAATACCTATGAGCGCCGCCGAGTCCGATGCGACCAAGGAGGACAAGAGAAAGAAGACAACAAGACGAAGAAGAAAACAGATTCGATGAGAAAGAGGAATATGAGGAGAAGAAGCAGCCATTGTTGCCCCTTCGGTTTCTATCTCTCTCTCTCTCTCTCTTTCTCTCTGTATATTCCCACCGCCGCGAAGGGAAGACGGAGGAGCTACTGAGAAGCGCGCAATATTTAAGCTTTGCGTTTTGTGCGCGTAGCGTTGTATCAAAGTACAGTGAGTTGGTTTAGAATATATAAGAGTCCCGGTTTGGTTTAATTCATTGGATTGGTCAGGTGTGCCGCGTAGCGTTGAATCAAAGTGTGAAGAGTTGGTTTAGATACTAGAATCTCGGTTTAGTTAAATTCATTGCATCGGTCAGATGTGCCGCGTAGCGTTGTATCAAAGTGTTTCGGTTTAGTACATTAATTGTGAGTGTTGGTTTACTTTGGTTCAACTGTCATCTAACCATTTACAACAACAAAGAAGATGAAATCCATGGATTAGCTGGAGAAATTACAAGAGAGGAGATGTGCAATCTTCTATTAATGTATAAATATATAATGATTTGGAGAATACATGATCGTTTCAAAATTTGTTTTTTTTTCCCCCTTGTTTTCTATATGATCAGAACAAGAAAGTAAAAACTGCATTGAAACAAATTTTGCCACGCAGTAGGATGAAAGTTTCAACTCTTTGTGTCTCATTAGCTTTTCTTTGGGGGATTTGAGGTTGCTCTGTCAAGTTTCTTCAAGGTTCCTTAAAAAGAACAAAACCTGTCCACATAAGCAACTGTTGTACAAAAGTTGGATCCAACCATGATTTGCAGGAGTGAATAAGAATATGGATAAGCACCATTCTCTGTGTTGCGCTTAATTAATGAATGTAGATTTACAATTCTCGTACTTAGTTTCCTCTATCTGCTTGTGTCTTTTGTGACATGAAGGCTGCAAAATGTAGTCTAGAATCAGTGATGTATCACAAACGAACAATTAGGGAATAAGTACGTTTCATTTAAGGAGAATTGTTCAATCTAGAAATAAATCAATTAACTCAAGATAGTTTAATGGGGGGAGACAAAAGGAATTCACAAGTAGTACCTCATCATCATCAGATGAATCATCATCATGCCTCCTCTTTTTAGGTAACACATCAAGCAAACCTGCAGAACAATTAGGCAAATTAGAGCTTATTGTTGCACAATCCTTCACTGGATGAGATTAAACTAAACAATTATGAATCACAAAAAATGGTAGAGACCATACCTTGACTTGCGTTTATTTCCTTTGGATCTTTCTTTTCCTTTGACACACCAAAAAACTCAAAGCAAAGGTCCATCATGGAGGTCAAGACCTATTTTGATCAACACAGTCTCAAATCACTACTTTGAAGACACCCACTAAAGAAAAAACTAGTGGTAATGAAACTATTTTTAAAAAATTGTCACTCACACATGAAAATTCAGATTCTGATGTCCCACAAACCTCAATCAACCTATGCTTGTCTACCTTGAGCTGCAAAATTCAATACCAAAGTTAATAATAATAATCAAGATAACACTTAAACAACCCAAATGTATATTTGCTTAGAAGCCCTTTAAATGCAACGTTACCTTATGTTTTTTGGCACACAAGAAGAAAGCAGCAGCAGTAAATACAGGTCTGGTGAAATCAGCACTTGCTCGTCTTGTTACCGGCAGTGATGCAAGAAACCGCTCCTTATACCTAAAAAGGAAAACCAAAAAACAATTATCACTAATTAGATTCGGACACATAATAAGAAATTGAGTCGGGCAATTGAAAGAACACATTGCAGGCAATATCTTTTTGTTACATAAACAGAAATGGATCTTACGCTGATAGGCCTTTCTGCACAGTTGTAATTATCCTAACGCAGCCAAATTGAATCGCCAATTCTTTTACATTAAGCTTAATCCTGAAAAATGCCCCCAAAATGTTAATACCCCAATCATCAATCAATGTAACTCCACAAAATCAGATCCATCGAGAAAAAAAAAAACAGTATCAAAAATCACTTAAAAAGGAACTCACTTGACCCCAACGCCGTTTTGAAGAGTATTAAATGATCTTGAGTAAGCCCTTTCCGACATACCGCTTAGCTTAATCGCTGCCTGTCTGTCGAATATAACTTGGAGTCTGCAACACAAATCCCAAATCGATTAAATATACCAATATAGAAAAGGGTGTAGAGAATTCACAGAAACAACAACAACAACGACAAGAAATCGATAAATCAAATTACCTAGATGCTGCCATCTCCAGACATATAATAGCTTTACCGATCTCGCCCTACGAATCAATACAGGAAAAAACAAAAACCCAACAGTTTCATATTAACTGAAATTTAATTCAATGTGGTGTTCGTGATGTTGGATTTAGATAAAAAAAAAAAAAAAAAAAGAGTTGATCTTACGACGCCGATGATGGAGGAATCGAATTGAACATCGCATAGACGGCGGATTTCTGCAGCTTTTCGGAGGAGAAGCTTGTTATCACCAAGATCAAGCTTCTTGGCTATCTTGGAGACATCCATTTTTTCAAGATTCCGGAGAATAATAGATTTGGGCGATTTTACCGAGAATGGAATAATGATGCGAAGGGAAGTTTTCTTTTCTTTTAACATTTTGAAACTTTTTACTCGCGCCTGTAGATTTTTTTCTTTTCCCGGTTTCAATCTAAGCGCCACTTAGATTTTCCCGCCAAATTTTTATATCGTTTACATATATGGAAGGAAGCAAGTAAACAAAACACATATACACACAGAAACAGAAATTCAGCAGATAGCAGCATAAAATTAGAACAAGTTATTCAATTTTATTAGATAACAATTTCAATGATAATAATTTCCAACAATCTACTTCAGTTCAAGTTAGAAAAGGTGCATTAAAATAATATTTATTACAATAAAAAAATATTTCCTTTTACGTAAAAATAAAATGTTCGTAGTACTTACCCCAACTACATAAGTCATCATAACATATATAAGAAATGCTAACTAAGAGACCGTGTAATCATCTCATTTCTCTTTTTCATCATATACTCTTACGCTAAATAGCGATAAAGTTTCCGGTCCGTACTGTTCCTCTCCAAGAAATCACGTTCAATAAGCGACTCGATCCTCTTCTTAATCTCTGTCGGATTCGCCAAGAACCGAGACTGCAACTGCTTAGTGACTTCCGCGATTATGTTGTTGTGATCCAACACTCGTCTCGCCTTCATGATCCTAACAATAGCTGCTTCGATCTGCGGTTTCCTGTCTTCCTCAACTCTATGTCTCGTCTCTTGCTTCTCCGGTTCCGTCTCCTTCTGTGCCACCACCGTTCCTATCTTCACTTTGTAGAACTTGCCCGTGAACTTCTCGTTCACAACAAACGAGTCCTCCTCTCCAATGTCCTTGCTCATCGGAACTTTCTTAAACACGTTTTTGCCTTTCACAAACGCCATTGACTGCAAACAACGCTTTAGATCCGAGGAAGGGATTTCGGTCGCCTGTTCGATCTCCTTGTAGCTGAGTCGATCAGAGTTGTTGAACAACATAAGGACACACATTTGGAAATTGGACACGTTTAGCTCGTGTCTCTGAGCTTTGCCAAACACTGCTTTGATATCTGCTGTGCCCATGTTGGTTTGCCAAGATAATCGTCTTCCTGTATGCGTCCCGAGGTAGTATGACCTGAACTTCTCACACAGAACAGAGACTTCTGCAGGTAGGTTACATGGTAATATCGGCTGCGTCGGCCAAGAACCGGTTGTGAGAATCTGAACGACAAGCGTTGGTCCTTCTGAGAGCTCGGGATGGGTGTTGTAGAAATGTAGCACCATGTCGTGTGATGTCTTCATGTCAGTGAACATACCTTCGAGTTCGAAGTGAATTGATACCCACATTCCGTTTTTAGCTTCACTATCAGATTCCTCTCTGCGTCGTGAGAGACTGTTTTGCCAGATAAAAGTCTTTTCGCCAGATGCTGTTTGTAGTATTTCTCAAAGACGTCTTTCCCCTGCAAGTAGCGGAACAGCATCATCACCTTGTCGAAGATGACCTCCACATCGTCCTCTATCACGCCTTTCATTCCTTTTCTCAGCTTATCGTCGACGAACAGAGAGATAAACTCAGGTGAACGGGTGTTTAAGTTGATGAAATACTCAAACGAAGAATTCGACGCGTTCTGGAATGTCTTATCGTTGTAGAACGACGTGACGATGATCTTGTCGTACTTATCACGCTCACCCAAAAGACGCTGCACAAACTCAACCGGGTCCTTTGATTTCTCTGGATCTGTCACCAGCTGTTTCCCCATCTCCCTAAGATGCAGAGTCATTACATCTCTGACTGTGACAAGACCGTTTGTCACCCTGCGGAACAAGCTGTACATTCTAGCCAAGTCCTCGTACCTGTCGTTTAGAAGCATATTAACCAGGCCTGAGTTCTCCATGTGAACTAGTCTCTGCATGTGGTTGGTGATCATCTCTCTCTCGACCACGCTAGTAATCTTCTCCTCGCTCTTGGCATCCAAATAGTGAGCTACCCTTTCGACTTCTTCATTCAGAGGCTTCTCCGCTTTCTTCAAGTACTCACCACAGTCACAGGATTCAATAAACTCCTGCGACTTGACCTTGTAAAACTCAGCAGAAGCCTCCAAAAACGGCTTCTCAAAATCCACCTGACACACAGATTCCCCCAAGTCCATAAACATCTTAATCACATTCCTCATCAACAACCTATCAATAACTTCACCGGTGCGTTCCTTGTGGACTAAATCAAGAAGAGTATTCAAAAGCCTCGTCTGGATCTTGCTGGAATGAACAATGTTATCTCTCCACAGGTTAAGCCCAAGCTCGTGTACATGCGTTTTTCTTGTGGTCGTCACATAAGTCCGATCCATGTACATGAGAATGTCCCGTATCATCTGCAGCGCTTTGTTGTGATCATTCCATTTCCTATTTAGCTGTTATAAGAAGGAAGCTCCCTGAGCTGCTTCAATGGACTTGCATATCTCCTTGAGATGAGCAGTCATGGTGATAACGAGTCCAGAGTAAAGCTTTTCCCCGAATTTATGCAGAACCATGTTGTATGCGTTTCTGAGAGCCAATATACACAAAAAAAAAAAAGTTAATACAGCCTCAAGAGCAACTTCATAACTAGCTGAAATCAATGGATTCAACACATGTAAAAGCCTAATCGTGGGTGAAATTACTTAGGAAGGAAGAAGAAGAAGAAGAGAGAAGACCTGTAAAGCTCTTCGAAACTGAGTCCGCTCGCGTTGTGATTGTAAATCTCATGAATGGCATGCTCGAGGATCTTCCAAGTTCTATCGGCGTATTTCGGATCAACCACGACTCGGTGCTTGAACGCCTCTATCTGGAAATTCCTCTTCTTCTGATTACTCATGTTGATCGGGACCTTGAATCGTGAAGAAATCACTTAGAAAAAGAAATCAAAAAAGTTCAACAACAACAAGAAACGAAAATCTAGGAACAGGAACGATATCAGTGAATCGGTGAACCTTCAGCTCAAACGAGGAATCAGAGTACAAGGAAACAGAAATCGGAGACTCACCGGAGCAAATCTGGAGGGAGGGATGGGTCGGGGTTAGGGTTTGGAGTGAATACGTGTCCTCTTCATAGAGATTTAGATAGGTATGCAAAGAAGGCGTCTGTGTATACGTAGAGCTATAGAAACTGGAATACACACAAAGAGATAGAGAGGAGAAAGATTTGAAGGTTGAAGACGAAAGCAACGGAGTCGAAGAGAAAAAAGACTTTTCTCTCAGTGCTTTTTATAATTCTTTTGATGTAACAATAGCAGCTCTATTAGTGGTTTTTAGAGGTTCTTTAAATAAAATAAAAAATAAAAATAAATGAGTGATAGGTTCTTAAGTTAAGAATCGATTTTTAATTAGGATCTTTTAGAAAAGTTTAGAACTCCTTAAATGTCTGGAAGAATATAATTTTAACAAAATTAATTTCTTTCGCCTCTTCAATGTTTTGAATAATTTTTTTTTCCTCTTCCATTTTCTCCTCTGATCTCCCTCTCTTCTCTGCATCCCTCTCCCTCTCTTCTGATCGAGTTTTACTGATTCGATTTTCACTTGTTGATCTGATATGATTTGATCTGAGATGCTGAAGGGATGTCAAAAACTTGCATGCCTTAGCACTTTCAATCTTCAGCTTTTGCTCTGCCGCGCAACAATGGCGGTTTTCGGTGGCGCTGTTTTTTGCTCTGCCGCACTTTCAATCTTCAACACGAATTCCGTTCAATCATCCGTCCTCTCCGATTCTCTTCTGTGGGATACCTCCGACGACGCCGGGCCTGCTCGGGTGCGTTTTACTGATATCCCATCTCTTGTTTTTTCTGAATTTTCGAAGCAATGTTGTAATGCCGAACAGAATCTAATATTTTAAGTAGGGGAAGTTCCTTTCTTTTGCACTATTATGGATATATGAAGAAGAAAGATGCTCACTTTAAATGTGAATTATGTATTTATGTGATTGATTATTTTATCAATGAAGTAGATTTCTAGTGATTGGAAGACGGCGAAGGCTTATTGTAAGAGTGGAGACACATGTGAAGGTGAAGTCGAAGGCTTCAATGGCGGAGGCTTACTTGTTCGTTTCCATTCTCTTATTGGGTTTCTTCCTTATCAATAGTTAAGCCCTTCACGTTCTTGTAAAGGTAAACAAAAAAACCCTCATTTTTTTCATAATCTTATCAAAATTTGGATTTTGTTTAGAAAAAGTGTCATTGATGATGGTTTTGTGTTTCTTACATTAAAGAGCCTCAGAAAAGCATTCATGAGATAGCCAAGATTTTGGTCGGTTCAACACTTTCTGTCAAAATAAATTGTTGCCATCTTTTAATAACTCCATAATGTGTAACAACAACCAGCTTTATAATTTGATGTTAAGTCTATATATATATATATATATGTTGTTCAAGCTGATGAGGAGAATAGAAAGTTAATTTTATCTGAGAAGTTAGCAATGTAGCCAAAGTATTCACAAAATGTTAATGTCGGTGATGTATTCACCGGAAGAGTAGATTCTGTTGAGGACTATGGTGCCTTTATCCACTTGCGCTTCGATGATGGTATTATATTTACATCACGTTGTATTAATTGTTTCTTCTTATTCTGAGATGTGACATTGATGGATATATATGGTGGTACTATAGGTCTTTATCATCTAACAGGACTAGTGCATGTCTCTGAAGTCTCTTGGGATTATGTTCAAGATGTTAGAGATGTTCTACGTGATGGTGCTGAGGTTCGGGTGATAATAACAAATGTTGACAAGTGAGTTTCTTTTTTTGGTTACTGAATTCTATTAGACATGCGTAGGTTAATTTGTAATCTAAGAGTTGTCCCAAATGCAGAGAGAAATCAAGGATTACACTATCAATCAAACAACTGGAAGATGATCCTCTTCTAGAAACATTGGACAAAGTGATTTTGAAGGTAAGCAATGTGAATGTGTTTTTGTTTCTGTTCTCTTGTAGATATTGAATGTTATTACAGGACAGCTCTACTGGATCTCCTTCGCCGAGCTCCAACAATAGTGATGCAATTGAACCTCTTCCAGGTCTTGAAACAATACTTGAAGAGCTATTACAGGAAGAAGCGTATAAACAAAAAAAAATTCCTAATCGTTTCTGTGCAAAGAATCTTCTTAAAATTGCTTAAGGATCAATACTTTAGATTCTATGTTTTAAGCAGAACCATCTAATAATGGAAAAACATTCTGGTTTTCAAGGTGTAGTTATCCTTATATTCATTTCCTCAATGATCTCTTCATTAAAGGATAGAAGCAGTGAGAATCAATCGGCAAGGATTTGAGAAGAGTGGTTTCACAAGACTAACTTTGGCTCTCAAATGAAAGTTATGTTCTCTTTATTTTCCAGTAAGCATAAACTTTTTGTTTACGATAAAATAATGAAAAAACATTCTGGTTTTCAATATGTAGTTATCCTTATATTCATTTCCTCAATGATCTCTTTTATTACAGGATAAAGTTTTTATTCTTAACAACCCTATTAAAGATTTTACCAATGGAAGAAAAATAAACTAAAATCTCTTACAAAGCTTCGATAAAAAAATTATATTAAAAAATTTGTTAAGAACCCTATTAGAGGCTCTACCAATAGAGATTGCCTTAGCTCAGTGGCTTAGCTAAGCCTCTTTTAGTGTTCAATCACTTTGGTTCGAACCTTGATCGTGTATTATTTTACATATACCGACTAAAAGATGTTAAGATGGGCTTTAAAATGCTCACGGGCCAAACCGCAGGATTTCTGTTTTTAGTCTTTACTAAAACCGAACCGAAATTTTGATTATATCCGAGCCAAATTGAAAAACCAAGTCCCTTTCATTTTTTGGTTTATTGATCGTTCGCGTCGAAATAACGCCCGCGTTAAAAGAACGCTTCTTTCTTTCCCGAAATCGTCGACTGATTTTCATCACTATATAACTTCAGCTTTGATTTGATTCGAGTTTCACCTTATTCTTATTCCTGCGACTTCGATTGAATCTATTCGCTTTTACTTCCCCTGTCAAATCGATTGGTAAGTCGCTTTTTTCCACCAGAATCTCCTCTTTTCTCTTTAATCCCGAATTTTCAGAATTTTTTTTTTGTTTTTGTTAATCTGGTGTTTACTGGTTATAGCAAATTAGTAGTTTTTCGGGTTTGCGCTGTTCTGTTTGTAGATTTGTAATCTTTCTGAGTTTTTTTTTTTTTTTTTTTAGCAGAACATGTCACGTGAATTTTGTCCGGAGCGACCTTTGTTCGGCGGCGCAATTTCCAGCGCCTTCCCTCAAAGATTCGAGGTTTGTCTCAACAATCCTTTTTTCGATTTCGTTTCTTTTTTGCTTGATAATTTTGTGTTCAATCAGTAAACGGTTTCCTGATTTCTTCAGGATGCGAGTAACATCAGACAAGTTCCAGATCATCAGGTTAGATTCTTTCTCTACCAAAGATTTGCAGAACTGTTATAAAAGATCGTGTAGAAGAATCTCTAATTATACTTTGTTATCGTATTTAAAATTAATTTGGTTTTGCAGGAAGTGTTTGTGGATCCTTCAAGGGATGAGAGTTTGATATTTGAGCTTTTGGATTTCAAGACTGAGGTTGGTGACAATGGCAGTGCTTCTTGGTTCCTTCATGATCTCGCTCGTGAGCAAGAGGCCGAAGGTTTCAAGGTAAGCCACTAGACTTCTCCTTGTTTCTGGTTTTCAATTCGAATCAAAGTTACAATTTTTCCGGCTAGAACATTAGTTATGTTTTCTAAAGGACTTGTCTTTACTAAGACTGAAGCTAAAATCTTATGATCCAAGACAAGGTAGTAATATTGTTGTTATGTAATTTCAGTTGATCGAGCAATCAGAGATCATTGAGGCTCCTGGACTTTCTTTTAGAAACATCCCTGCCGTTGCGACAACTGCTATTGGAGAGATGGTAATTACATTCACTTGATGCTCGCGTTTTTTGTTTCCTCTTTTGTTTTTGTTTTTTTATCTAACGATGGTGATTATCAGGCTATATCCAAAGGAAGACAGGGAAGAGAAGCACAGAACCTACTGAGGGTAATCAAGTTTTTTCCCTTGTTCTGTTCTTAAGGTGGTTCCTTTTTTTTTTGTTTCAACTTGTCTAATATGATGGTTTCTTCCTTAATGCAGGTCTATGTGGCAAATCTTCGTCTTAAGGGAGTTGAAACAGATGTCTTAGTGGCTGCATATGAACCTATTCTCATCAAGTAAGTCTCTGAAACGTTAATTATGAGTGTGAAACTGCTTTGTTGTTGTTCGAAATTTGTCTTTGGTCTCATGTGTTTACATATTGTGTTGTGCAGCCCTTTGAGCGAAAGTGCGAATGCTGTAGGATCTGGTTTAGCTGTACCAGCTTCACAATCTGGAATTATGCCAATGTGTGATGTCATTAAGCAATCGCTCTCTACCTTCAGAGTCAATGACTGGAGTCTTTTCGGTTCCTCTGCTTGAGTCTATGCTTCATCAGCAAAAAAAAAACGGGAACGATGCAAATCTGCCTATTGGTGTAATCTTGGTTTCGGTTTTTAATTTTGGGAGTTCGGTTCTTTTTGGTTTAAATAGCTTCTCATGTGGTTTGACGTTTATTCCAATTTGGGTTAGTCGACTGAGATGGAATCTTAGAGCTTCTTCTGTTTAAGCATATTGTTTTTGTTGTTGCTCTTTAGCTTTTTGGTTAATGAAAAAAAGAGTTTATTCTCAAATCCCTTGTTCTTCATTTTTTTTGGTATTTACAGCATCTAACAATCATATATTCATGTGTCTTCTATTTGATCATGTGTTGGAAATAAAAGTCTGACGAAAAACCATAACATTTACTATGAGTGTTCAAAGAGATGGTATAAAAATAGGAAACCGTATCTTTTTCTTTGTTAAGGGAGTTATCATGATGCATTGTATGTCTTTTCTCTATATGATGTTTTTCTTCACAGAATGTTGAAGGAAAAAAAAGTCAAAAGCTTTGAAGTCTCCATAAACTTTTTTATAAAGAAGAAAAGGCAAAATAATTAAGAAAAAAAAAAGTCAAGAAGAAAAAGTAGCATTCTTCTTGGAATCCAAGAATTCAATTCAAAAAACAATTTTTGGTAACAAGGTTTTTTTTTCTTTGCTTTAACTCTTTAATTTTGTTTTTTTTTTCCTAAATATTTGCAGAACTAGTGGCAAACAAAACAGAACTTTTCCACAACCCTGTTAGCTTTGTGTTTCTATTAATAAATACCAAATTTATCTGCATCACAACATTTTTCTTGTAACATTTCTATCAACTATACTCAATAATTGGAAATAACTATATAATTCAATTGATTCTTTTTCATGGGTTAGTCCTTTCTCGATGGGTACTATGGTAGGAGCGTAACAAATTTTAATTTATTAGGCTTGACCATTAGGGAAATAGGTTTCAATCGAAGAATCTTGTATTAAGTCCCATCAAAGCCTCTCATAGGTTACTGTTAAAAAAAACATTTGTTATTGTTTCAATTCTCTATTTTAATCAAGTGACGTCTTGTCGGAAAATTGGGATCGAACCAATGAATCACGAGGTAGATCACTAGGCTCTACTCTAGGTTAGTCTATAGTGAAGCAAAAAAAACTAAAACTATAGGACTAAGATTAATCAATAATTTACATCACATCACGTGTGTATTTTTTCTTAAACTATTTTGGGGTTGAAATGTAGTCCTATCTTTATTGGCCAAGACAAGTAACAACGAATCAAAACACAAAACCTTAAACAAGCAAAAGCTGAACTTGAGCTAACCATCTAATGATTGATTTTTAAAAAATAAAACTAAATTTAAGTAGAGTTATAATGACGACAATTTTTTGTTGTTTGTTACAACTGACAACATTTATTTTTCTACACTGGACTTGGCCCATGCATGTCTGTAATGCGATCCAAAAGTGAACATGTAGAGGAGATGAGAGCGTAAAAGAATCAATCATATACTGTTTTTGATGATGATGATGATGATGATGATGATGTGGTTCCTCCTTCCCTTATCGTTCAGAGCGATCCTATACCGATTGTTTTGTTACCTTTGTTACCTCTCTTTTTTTGTAATTAGGCTGTAAAGTTCTTTTTGGGATACATTTAACCGTTAAAACTGAGAATCATTATTCAAATATTCAAATGAACAAAACATGACCGAATATAAATAGTTGATTCCGTCTCTTAACATTTTTCGATGTTTTCTTCAATAATAGTAATAATAATAACAATAAGTATTTTGTGTATTTTTTAAAGATTTTATTATGAACAGAAAATATATAGGTAGATACTCTCCCATATTTCTCTTGTTTTGTCAACTGTGAATTTTTGTTTAAAAATTTTATAATATTTTTTAAAAAATGTTAAATGCTTTTATCATTAGACTACTGTTTTACTATTTGTCAGCGATTCTCAATCGGCCCGAAGTCTGATCGCTTTTCTCTCCACTAGTCATAAACCATACAATCTATAATAAAATCATCTTTTTGGTAATTGAGATAGATCATAGACCAAAAACCAGACTAAATCACCAAGACATATAGAAAATTGAATATGTTTTTCCATTTAAACTGTCTACAATTAAGAGGAATCTAAATAATATTTGTAGATAGTGAAACTCAGTCTCTTATCTAGAACCAGGGACGATTCTAAACTCAAACGAGACACATTTTGACTTACAGTTTGAAAGCTCTATATATATTTTAACTTTAATAATTCAGCCCTACCATCTTTTTTTTTCTTCTAAAGTTTTCATTATGATTCAGTTCAATGTTTTTTTTCTGAGGGCTTGTAACTTCACGTTTTTATAACAGGTTCTGCCTAAACCGCATATCGAATCCAGTTTCATTTGAAAAGTCTACCGGATCATACCATCTTGGTTGATTTACTATCGGTTCTTACATCAAATATGCTTTTTGTTAAAAAAAAAAAATGTTACGTATATTTATGTGACTTTTCAAGAGAATGGAGATGCCTGAAAGAGTATGACGTCAGCCCTAGTATAAATCGGGAAACGAGAATATGGACGTCGGAGAGTGACGTGGCATTGTCAGCCTCACCCACCAACTCGACCATGGACCTCTTTTCCAGTTTCCACTAAGCTTGTCTCACGTACATTTCAGATTTTTGATATACGTACAAAAGCTTCAACCGTATTTATTTGCATTTATCTCAAATTTACACATGCTTATAAAGCTATAAACATATGGTTACATTATGTGTTTTCAAAGAGATACACGTCGAGAGAAAAAATAAGGTTTTGTGAATATTTGCCGACACGGATGTTGATAGGCGTCTGGGTAGTGTGTGTGACCACCAATGTTATAAAATTAAATTTATAAGATGATATAAATTAATAAGTATAAATTATATGATACGAGAGATGGAGAGAGAAAACTACTGAAAGAAACTTGAGGGATCCTCAAAATCACTTCGTGGCATTTCTCGTAATTCTCTACGAGTTGTCGAGGGGTATTGAAGAAATATCAAACTACAAAACTGTTTATATGCTTTGTTTTCATTTTACTTTAATAATTGAAAACAAAATGAAGAAAACGTACCCTTGGCAGTTCTTGTCCCCTTTAAGTGTGAGGTATATATATTTTTTCTACAATATATAACCGAGCAAACTGGTAATTCCCACAAGAAGAAAAGTTAGACAACCTTAAATATTGATAGAATATTTTTTCTTACCGTAAATCACATATTCCTCTTTTGTTTTGTTAATAGTTCAGTATTTCACCTCAGTTTAATGTTCTTTCATTATGAAAAAACAAACATAATGGTTCTTGTTTGAATAAAATATTACCAAATTAACGTCAAGACTCAAGAGGACGAGCTAGGCTCGTTTTGGAATACAAGTTTGTACGAGATTTCTAATTTTCATTGGAGAAGGTAGTTTTAGGTTCAACAGGCACTAAGATACAAATTTAGAAACATGGTATTGTGATACATAGAATAAATTAAACTAGATTACAGCGGTTTTACAAAAGAAAAACAGTTTGAATACTGTTGTTACTATTAATTTATAAATCTGTAAGAAAAAAAAAAGCAGATAGAGTTAGTTAATGCTTCTTGTGTGTGAGATATACGCATAAATAATGTACGTATATATGTGTTTGAGGATGAGTGAGTTGTTGTGTTTCTTTTTTGTTGGATGCCATTCCTCTTCCAGCATCTACATGTTAGTGCTCTCTCTTTTTTTCTGACTTTTTAACTTCCATTATGTAACATCGTTTATCTATTTATTAACTAAATTTCAGCAATTAATCGTATATATATCTAAAACCACAATACAGATCAAGCAACTGAGATGCTACAAGTCTTTTAAATGATAACGGCTCAAACATCGATCTTATACAAGTCCATTATGTATACGAAGTAATATAATCTAAGGCAAATAGTCATACGATATCGCTCCCGGATAAAAGAGAGATGATGCTATTATTGTGAATTTATGATGTTATTATAGAAGCTAAAATGATGATGATTAATGTCGACCAAGAACCCACGTTAGATGTGCTAATTAAAAATTACAAAGGCTAACTAAAGTACTCGTGATGTCCTACTATATATTGTATATACCATTTTTCTCTAACATTTGTTATCCAATTTTATATTTTTTTTTTCCGTGGAATGCGATCCCATATCAGATAAGCTACGCGTACTTAATCATAAATCTATATATAGCGACCAACAACAAAAATAAGAAGATCTAATAGCACCAATCAGCCCCACAGAATCAGTGTATATAGATATATATAAAAAAAAAATTATAACTCCCAACATTCCAGTCAAGTTAATTTTTACTCGAATTAATAATCTAACAAGAAGAGAGTCGAAAGAAAGAAACTAAAAAGTAGTGAAGGAAATATAGAAGAAGAAGGTGAGACATCGGTATCACACGGTCATGGATCAGGTACAAGCAGGGAAAACTTAAATAGTATATATACACACACACACATCACTCTCTTGTCTTGTTTTTGGAACTTCTTACATGTACGTATGCATGCTGTATGCAGTTACGTACACGCACATGTGCTTGTATAGAGTTAGAAACATCTAGAATGATATACGTATATATTGATCTATAAACCCACAAATAATACATATCAAAAACACCAACTTTTAAGATATAAAATGTTAAACAAATTGTATTCATTAGTTAGTTCCGATCGAATTGAAATCTAAACGTGAGATATACGTTCAAGTAGATAGACAGCTGTAGAAAAAAACAAAAGGAGTAGAGACAGAGATACGATATATATGTAGAGGTGGAGACATGAATAATGTATAAATATAGATATTAGATAGATAGGGTCCAACACAAACAATGAATGATGAATGCTAGGGTTCCGGATGCAACGTGATTATGTCGCTAGCCGTAGTGACAGTTCATGAGAGGACAACTTTTATGTTGTTTCTTCCTCTCTTTCTCTCTCTCTCTTTCTCAGCAATTATTTATACCACCGTAAGTAAGTTACATCAATCTCACTACACAAAGAACCAGAACTGGTGACGTGGCGACTGTGTATCAAATTATTTGTGTTCAAATTGGTCCAAATTTGGTTTAAGCAAGGGACTGGCCACAAACCGGGTATCAAAAGCTTGTAATAATCTGAACAGAGAGAGAACATCTTTGTGCTTATATCGGACAAAAATGTTTTAGACACCGACATTTTATTTTATTTTAATGGGAGGATTAGAAGTTACTTAATGATTTGATTTTCTACGAAACATAAAAGAAACTATCATCTCTAGTAGTGAAAA